ACATATTTTCATCACATGGAAGCTTGCTATGTAACATAGCATGTCTTCATGTGATACTATGGACCATTTTTCAAGGTCCCTACCTTGGAAAATAGACCTATTGCATCGCATCTTGGCCTGCTATGTGACATAACATGCCTCTATGTGATGCAATTTTTTTGGCAGTGTACATGTCTGGTTTTCAGTCTGTGGGACTGTTATGCAGTCCTCAGGGCTGACACAATATAACTTTTCTCTCTTCCTTATTACAGTTATTTATCTCCCAGGTTAGCACCTCTTCACCTTAGCAGGGTGGAAGTGTTTATAGAGGGGTCATACTTTGACTATTCATCCCATATCAGGTATATAATTATGTAACTTCATGTAGAATTTGACCTGTGGAAAAAGACAACAAACTCCACCCATATCACAAGCATAGTCAGCTCATAGAATCTCCTCCTTCTTGAACTTACATATACTACTTTTTTAATAAGTTGGTGCATCTTCACCTTGGCAGGGCAGAAGCTTTTACAGAGGGGTTATACCTCAAGTAATCTCACCCCATGTCAGAGCTTTTGTAGAGGGCTCATATCACAACCACCCACTCTGTATCAGAGGTATGTGTATGTAGCTGGTGTCCTAAGATTATCTAAACTTTCTATATACAATGGAAGCTTCCACAGACATTTCAGGAAAAGACATTCCCCTCAGGACACTATCATTTCCACCATCTCAGCCAATACAAATAATCTGAACACAAAAATATTACCAAAAGAAACCAGCCAATTAAGACCAATGAAAAATCTTCCTAAGTAAACCATAACCTACAAGCTCAATGGTTCTGATTCTTTGATGAAATGACAAATCCTTCCTTCCCAATGTGATTTCTCTTGCAGCCAGCCAAATGAAGTAAACAGGCAGCAAAAAAACTTGAATAACTCAGGAAACATGGTAGTGCATGGTAGAAAGGCTTGATTAATTTTCCAGAACTTTGAAAACTGTATAAGAACTAAACCTGTACTGTGTATTCCAATTCCTAAGAGGGTTCAAAATAAAATGTCTGAAGGAAGTGACCTAAAAGTTGACTTTAGCACCATGACAAAATTCCTCAAAAAAAAAAAAAAAAAATCACTCAATCTTTCTCATAAGTATTGCATTCCTCACTATTTCTTTTTTTTTTCTATTTTCTTCAGATTATTTCTGCCTTTTTACTTCATCTATCACCCAACAAATGAAACATAATGTGTGCTTTTTGTACCATTTGCATGACAGAAGACCCCAAATTAGCCTTGTGTTTGTCATTGAAAATATGAGTTTAATCCAAAAAAAATCTGAAAAATTTACTCATCACTTGGATCACATCTGAAGATCTTACTGTAATCTTTGTGCCTCTCATTGCAATTAAATCAAATTTAAAAATCAGTGACTCAATAGCTGAGGTTGGTTCACCTTTCAATGGATAACATGTGCAACAGATTCTGGGATAAAAAAAAATGTTTCAGCTCTTGATATATTTTGGGCACCTACCCTGGTTTTTTAAGTTTTTCAAATTTTTTTTTTTTTGCAAGTTTTAGGTCTTGAAATGTGGTTCACAATCAAATTTTAATGTCACAAGGGGTTTTTCTTCTGTTTGCTTGTTTAGAGCCTGAAGTTGTTGAACAAGTTTCAAAAAACTCCAGATAATCTTTAGCAAGCAACCTCAAGGAGCCATAATGAGCCCACTGTGACTTTTCTAGAGTTTTTCTTGGCACATGAAACATAATAATTCAATGCAAAAGTCTCTAATTTCATGTAACCCTGGTTTTCTCCTAGGAATAAGGGATAATATTTGTAGTGTGTACACTCACTCAACTTCAACATATTTGTGTAAAGTTCTCAAGTAGAGATTGAGTTCCCATGTAGTTTTCAGTTGCTACTGGTAAGGAGGTGGACAGCCTCCATGATGTACCTGGGACAGCAGGTACAGATGCTCAATGTGAGCAACAAGGTTGAGAGCAGAGTCTGTTGACACTTGAGTGAGAATGAACCTGTGCATGATGGGTAGGTGGATGGAAACACAGACAAAAAACAAACTATCCCCCAGCCATACATACAACACACAAATCAGCCTCCTGATGATGATGCCTCACAGAGAAACCTGGAGAAAAGTGAAAGGAAAACTTACTCTGAGCCAATTACTTCTGATGAGGAAGGAAAAAGGTTCAGAGTGAGTAACCCAGGAAGGGATATAGACTGCCACATAACATGACCAGAGACAAACACAGACACACACATACACATGCACATGCACACATACCAACTCACAGACCACACATGTGACACCCACTCACACACCACTAACTGCACCAGAGAGGAAAGAAGGTCTTGACAGGTCTCAAGATATGGATTCCTATGTGGAGTCTGGCCTGCTATGTGACATAGCATGCCTCTATGTGATGCAATTTTCTTGGCAGTGCCTCAACTTGAAATACATATCATCACCATCATAATAACTGATTGGTGGTTTTTTTTTTGGGTACATTTTCTTTTGCACTCTCCTACTATTTTTTCCATTGTTTTGGCTCTGGCTTTTCTTGCTGGTTTCAGGGCTGAGATCCCCCTTCAACCCAGATGTTGAAGTTTGTGTTGTGACATGAGGTTGAAAAGACTTAACTTGATCAGAATTTGAACCTGGGACTTCAGCATGTAAGCCAAACCACAAGGTCAATGTGACACCTTTACCACTAGGCTATGCAGTCTGTATTCACAGTGATGGGAATGTGTAGGAGTCAGCACAACCTAAGCATAGTGTGGATCACTTTAACATGGTGTGGATCATAAGCATATGACTACTCATCAACAGTTTAAATACCTATCTGTACTCTGGTAGCATTTCACCCACCCTCAACAAATTTGAATTGGGCAGACACATCTGCTTCAACTTCAGGAGTACACATCCAGCACAACATGCTCATATCCAGGAGGGGGGGTTGCTCTAAATATATAAAGAGGCTTTAATACAACTAACAAACTAAATTACTGATGGTTACTAACTAACACAAAATTTTAATCTTTGGGTATGCCACTACACTAAAAGACATGCCATCACTAAGAGCTAAACTACATAGGGAGCCTCAATAGGTAATAAGCAGATGACAGAACAGAGTACAAAGGTACATTATCCTCTACTCTAAATGCTCCAAATCTTAGACTAGGTAGAAGTTATGAGAATAGACTAGTATGATATTCTTGATTGAAGTCCAAACAGAGAGAAAAGATGTAAATAATATCACCACTCAATGAGATAGGACTGGGCCTTCTTATAAAGTATAAGAATAAGGGGCAGAGTATTAATGGACCACATGCAAACCAAAAAAGAATGAGCTTTAGAATTTCTAGTATAAGTGCTACTTGAAAGAGAAAGTGCTGACTGTGAATTTCTTATATGATGATGCACTGCCAACATATTTTCATCGCATGGAAGCTTGCTATGTAACATAGCATGTCTTCATGTGATACTATGGACCATTTTTCAAGGTCCCTACCTTGGAAAATAGACCTATTGCATTGCATGTTGGCCTGCTATGTGACATAGCATGCCTCTATGTGATGCAATTTTCTTGGTTGTGATGTGATCATTTTTCCCCATACCAGAAGTCCCTCCACTTACAAATGTTCATTTCTATTTTATTCTTGTTTTGTTCAGTTTAAGTTATTTTATTTTACTTTATTTTTCTACCCACCCAAACTATACTACCTCCATCTAGTTACACTACATTCTCGTGTATAATCTCGACTGCTGCGACCGCGATCCGACCCCGAATACCGCGTACGATCACCCGCTATCGACCCGATGAACTGTATGCCTTTCCTGCTGTCACCACCTTCGATCGAGTTCCGATCGGAATCTCCTATCAACTCGCTTCGATCACCACCACCCATCTCTCATGTACGTCGACCGGACTTGCGATCCGATTTCTACCGTGCTCAATCCGTTCAAACGATTCAAACCAACGATCCGATCGAATCAACCCGAATGTAATGAGTTGTAAATTCGTTACTAGGTAGATGTTTATAGATAGAAAGCATGTTACAAAAATCGTCAAGACAATATGTGTATAAATGGAAAAGACATCAAATACGGAACATTTGATATGTGTCACAAAGATTATAGAGATAACTACGGCAGATATTGTGAAGAATGTGGATATTGTCAATATTGTAGACATAGTAAAAAAACCTTGTATAAAGCTCGTTCACATTTGACACTCTGGTTTCCCTTTTTCTTATCGAAACATTTTGTTATTATGATCAAGCCTTACATAAAATATAAGCATACTTACATGGTCTCAGGACATGCGTATGTAAAGACTCGTACTAGAGTCATCACATTATATTTCGATCATGTTTTTTTTACTCTAGTCATTGAATTAGGGATAATCTTTTCCATTACGTCATATTTAAATTGTAATTCATTTCTTGTTTTATTTTATTTTAGTTTTTCATTTCATTCAATTCATTTTATTTTTTCTCAATCTATTTATATATCTTCTGTTTTTTTTCAATTTATTTATATATCTTCTGTTTTTTTTCAATTTATTTATATAGCTTTATCCATACCATATGAGAAATGGTAATATGAGCTAAAAAAAATTAAACAAAAACAAAACATCAAATGGTGATTATAAAACGGGTTCTGCTCCCCACAACACCCTGGGGGCTTTACAACTTGAAAAGGATGTGAAATTTACCTAACCCATAGTACACCCCCACACACCTACCTCACAAGTTCTAATCAACTTTGCCTGAGATATTCTACCACATATCCCCCCTGTTCCAATTTACCACCTCACACCTCATCCTTGAATTCCCCGTCCCCAACCACATCTTGTCATCTTTCTACTAGCCTCAAAAGCTGATAGGCCAATGACTATCTTTACAGGTCGCAATTTTGGATCTCAGAAGCCTTTGGGATGAAGGATTGATTCTCCAAAGTAGGATGTCTTTTCTGTTTAGCCCATTGTCATAGTTGCTAGATATCGGAGCTTGGCAAAATACATAGTGAATTGCCATCCACCTCTTGTCAAACATCAAGGCTGCAGTTGGCGAGAGAGATCACGTTGGCTTAACCAGTTGAAATAAAAATTGACTTGGGAGATGACACAAACCAGTGTAACTTGTCACCAGATTCCAGATTCGACTGACTGACTGGCCTCAGTGAAGGAACAAGGCGAGAAGTCGCTGATGTCCGGGTACGCCATATTTATTTTAGGACACTCTGGCACAGGTTGAACAAAGGAGACAGAGATGACCGGTAATGCAAATCGACCTGGCCTCAAGGCTTGAGAGTCAAGAGTCAAGGGATGGATAGGAGCGATGTCGTAGATATCCATATATCTACAGTAGAGCTCGTCACTCGTGAGAGTCTTAGAAAGCTTCAGTCAAAACTCAAAACCAGTTAAAAGACCAACAGTCCAAAAGAGAGACCCTAACCCATCCTCACTCATCCCCGTTCACTTTGATCACATTCACACTCCATATCATACATACTCTTGCACCAGCTTTTATACTTTATCATCAAAAACCACAATCATGGACCAAGAAAAGGGAGGGACCGATACCCATTTAGATGTTAAGGCTGCGCTTCTCGAAAATTCATACGAATCTGCGTTACCAGGTGAGATCCTATTGGATAGCAGTGCAAGCAACATTTACGATATTGATCTTATCTCACACTTAAAATTTCAGATGGAACTACTTCAGACCCCGTTTACGAAGCAAAGGCACACATCCTCAACGCCGCCATACAAGAAATTGGAATGGGCGCCTATCAATGGAAGCTATTCATTGTCATTGGTTTTGGCTGGGCTTCAGATAACCTCTGGCCTGTAGTCACTTCACTCATCCTCACCTCGGTGACGCAAGAGTTTCAAGTTACCCGACCTCCCCTACTTACACTTGCTCAAAACTTAGGTCTACTTGTTGGTGCACTCTTTTGGGGATTCGGCTGCGACCTCTTTGGACGCAGGATTGGCTTCAACCTGACCATTGGCCTCACTTCAGTCTTTGCCCTTGTCTCTGCTGCTGCTCCCAATTTTGCTTCCGTCGCGGTCTTCAGCGCGCTCTGGTCTAGTGGAGTAGGCGGAAACCTGCCTGTAGGTTAGTTATGCATTTATACTTAGTCGAAAGCGGGAGCGGGGAGATTGATCTCATGATGCTCGATATCTACAGATAGCGCTATCTTTCTTGAATTTCTTCCTGGTTCACATCAATATCTGCTCACAGTCCTCTCAATCTTCTGGTCTCTTGCTCAACTCTTGGTAACTCTTGTCGCCTGGCCCTTACTCGCCAACCTGACTTGTCAACCTACCGACAAAGCTTGTACCCGAGCCGAGAATCTTGGATGGCGTTGGTTCATGATTACCGTCGGAGGGTTCGCTTTGATCATGTTCCTCCTTCGAATTTTCGCTTTCACTCTGTTTGAGAGTCCAAAATATCTCATGGGAAAAGGCCGAGATGCGGATGCGGTGGCTGTCATTCACGAAGTTGCTCGTCGAAATGGCCGACATTCGACACTCACGCTCGCACACCTCGAAGCAGTCGAACTAGGCGGTAAAAAGGACACACACACTCGCGCTGCTCTCAAAAGACAGCTTGCCAGACTCGATGCCACACATCTTCGCGCTCTCTTCGCCACTCCCGCCCTCGTCCGCTCCACGCTTTTCATCACCACCATCTGGGCTTTTATCGGCTTAGGATTCCCGCTCTATAACGCCTTCATTCCGTTCATTCAGGCCCAGCGTGGAATTGACTTTGGTGACGGCTCACGCTCACTTACTTATCGCAACTCACTCATCATCGCAGCTGTCGGTGTTCCGGGAGCGCTGATAGGTGGACTCGCAGTACAATCTGCTCGACTCGGTCGAAGGGGAACGCTTGGAATTGCTACTGCCCTCACGGGCGCATGTCTATTTGCTTCGACAACTGCCACCAGCTCTGACGCACTTTTGGGTTGGAATTGCGGCTTCAATCTGCTCTCGAACATTATGTATGCTGTACTGTACTCGTACACGCCCGAGATCTTTGTAACCAAAGATCGTGGAACGGGAAACGCACTTACCGCATCCGCCAATCGGATCTTTGGTGTCATGGCTCCCATTGGTGTGCAGATTCTTACCTTTTGGATCCCAGAAGAGTACCGCTGCTGACTGATTTTGAGTGTCACCTGTTCTCAGTCGCGATGTATGCCGACCTGCGTACTGCAGTGCCTGTGTATGTCAGCGGGGCCTTGTTAATTTCGGCGGGCCTTCTGACTTTTGGACTACCCTTTGAGTCTCGTGGACGGGCGAGCTTGTAAAAAAAAAAAATCTTGTGAAATAAACGATCAACCTTCAGGACCAGCTCAAGTATCTTCCAAATCATGTATTTTCTTTTACCTTCCTTTTGACACTCGTGTATAATCAAGTCTTTGTTGGCGGTGTTTTATTCATACAAGTTTTCTTGCTCGCTTCCGTGTTTGATAAGATTTCGTTCTAATGTCCGTCAGACGGGTTCTTGTAATTGTATTTCTAGGACAGTCTTACAAGTGATTTGAACAGCAATGCCTATGATACACCGAATTTTAGGCTTGTTTCGTTCCAGAAAATTGGTCAACATCGATCACATGATTACAATCAAGGCGATGTCTAGTTTAAAACCGTAGCGGAATTATAAACTTTGAACAAAAGTTTTCCAACTCAAGTTTTTTGTGCAAGAAATT